CACCATCCACGAGTGTGACGCAGGCGAGGCCAGCTCGGCCCCCCCGCCCCGCGTGCCCGCCGCCCCCAAGGCCAGCCTCGCCATCTTCCAGGTGAGGGGGCGTGCAGCTGGCCGGGGCTCCAGGTGGCAGCCTGCCCTCTGGACCCCTTGCCCTCACCTTCACCTGGTGGGCAGGTGGCTCCTGGGCCCCATGTCAGGGTGGGGCGGGGGGGCTGGCGGCCGGGCCCAGCACGCCCTCGCCCCCCTGTGCCCGTTGACCTGTCACACTGCTTCCTCCCCACCCGGCTCTGTCCCGCAGCCCCCGGGGGAGGCCCTCACCGGCCGCTCCGTGGGCCCCAGCTCCGCCCTGCCAGGTGACCCCTACAACTCGGCCGCGGGCGCCCCTGACTTCGTGGAGATCAGCCCCTCGGCATCCAGCGACTCTGGGGACGGCACTTCGGTGAGGGCCCCCGTGTGTCCCCACGGTGTGTCCAGGACATGGTCGGCCTGCGGCTGCTCGCCAAGGGCCTCTGTTCCCCCCGGGTCCCACACATGGCAGGCACAGGGGTGGGTAGCACAGACTCACACTCACACACGTGGTCCCTGGGCTCCCACATTATCGGTGTCCTGTCCTTGGGCTGAAGGGAGGATGGATATCTACCCCTGCGGCCAGCCTGCCTGAGCTGCCCTTGTCCCCCCAGCCGGACCCAGGGGCCAGGAGCAGCAAGGCAAGTGGGCCCAGGGCCACAGTGGCGCCCGGGGAGGCGGGCCCCGGCTCCGGGACGGGCACAGTGCTGCAATTCTTCTCACGCCTGCGCCGCCACGCCAGCCTGGATGGGGCCAGCCCCTACTTCAAGGTCAAGAAGTGGAAGCTGGAGCCCAGCCAACGGGCGTCCAGTCTGGACACACGAGGTGAGCACTGGCCACTGCTGCAGGCAGCTGGGAGTGCATGCAGGGGTGCGGCCGGCGTGCCCAGGACCAGCGTCGGCACTCTGCACCAGAGTGTCCTGCAGACTCCGGGCCTTCGGGGCATCCAGCCTGGGGGAAGCAGGACGGTATCTCAGGGCATTGGCCACTGCCCCTTCCTAGGCTGGCATGTGTCTGCCCAGTCCTGCCTGCCCAGGTGCTGCACTGCTGTGAACTGAGGCTGGGGGGGACCACGGCTGGGGCCCCAGACGCTCATCCTTGGGGCTCTGTGAGGGTCGCCATCACAAGGAAACCACCATGGACACGTCACAGGAGGGTGGCTGTGGTAGGGTCCTGGGACTGGAGGCCACCGTGGGCCCCAAGTGGCAGCGTCTTGTGTGTGAGCACACGTGGGGTGACGGCCTGGCCTGTGCATGGCCATGCCTACCACTGCTCCAGGGTGCTGAGCAGGGCAGCTGTCCCGGGAGGGTCTGGTGGCAGCTGAGGACCTTGGGGTGGGCACCTGTCTTCACAGGAGAGGCCAGGCGGTGGCGAGTGAGTGGAAGGGAGGCGCAGCCTGGCATGAGCCCCGGGTTGGCCCAGCTGGGGG